TATTTGCTATGTTATCTCATATTTATAAAAATATTGACTCATTTATGTTAATGTTATCAATATAAATAAATATAAATATATCATTAATGAAATATATATATAGATTACATAAAAATTAAAATATTGTCATTTTGGTTCAGGTGAGGACTTACCACAAAGGTGCATCTTGGAAAAGTTCACAAGAAGCTCATAACCAGGGAGAAAGGGACTGTAACATCCATTAATTATTAACTGAGGAATTTTATTTTCAGACACTGAATTTTAATTCTAACAAGTATATTATAAAAAAACTTGAAATGTTAGTCTTAAAGAAAATGACATTATTCTAGTGACACTATATTCTCCCGGGAGAAAATAGTGTAATTTGTAATTTTTTTTTTGTAAAAATGGATCTTTTCCCTTATTCTAGAATGTAAAAGTTCAAACATAGGAATCAGGATATTAAGTCAACCTTACGAAATATAACTACCACAATAACTAAGATATAATTATATTTTTGTACATAACTTCATAATTGAATACATAGTCTTTATTGGATCATACTTCTACTTGTTGAACACATACAACATATACTTTAGACTTTATATTCCATATCTAAAATTACATACTTAATGAGATATTTGTTCAAGTGAAGATAAAAATTAAAAAGAGTTTTCGCAAAAGTGTAATATTTCCAGCCATAACTTAGTATGAAAAAATTCTCTATAATTTTAATTGAATAATGCTAAAATCATAATACTATAAAATAGTCTAGCATCATAAATATATAACCTTTTCTACTAAGACATTTTCACAAACATGAATTTTTCTTAGCATCTAATCTCTGTATTTTGCAAGGCTATCCCAATGTCTCATCTTGTTTTTTTCTAGACCTCATAATTGTTTAAGGAACCTAAGTCTTTACCATTGGTGTGAAGTGTTATTGAAAGACAGTGGGTGATATTATATCACTAATAGATTTGAACCCATGTATAAAGCAGAGGAGGTAGATGATCAGAATTATCACTGTGTAATTAAGAATATTAAAAACAGACTTACTTTCCATATATCATATGGTATGCTTTTTATCTTTTTGTGGGGCATTCTATTAGTAATATAATTAGCCGTCAACATGGCTTCCCCCCACAAATTCTGTGGTGAACCGGACGTAATTAACATAGCATTCATCATCTCTTTCAGTGTCCGATTTTTCCTTTCTGCAATCCCATTTGATTGCGGTGAATAAGGAGCTGTTGTCTGGTGTATAATACCAGACTCTATACAGAATTCCTCGAAGGGGCCATCATATTCTCCCCCACGATCGCTCCTTACCATTTTAATTTTCTTGTTGAGTTGATTCTCAACTTCACTTTTATATTGCTTAAAAGCAACAATAGCTTCATCTTTACTATTGAGTAAGTACACATAACAATATCTACTGCAGTCATCAATAAATGTAATAAAATATTTCTTATTACCCCTAGATGATGTAGATTTCATGTCACATATATCAGTATGTATTGAATCTAACAACTCGGTTGATCTTTCAACTGATTTAAAAGGTAATTTCGAAAATTTTGATTCAACACATACTTGACACTTATTATTTAAACATTCAAATTTAGGTAATAAATCTAAATGTATTAAACTCTTAATGGACTTTAGATTAACATGTCCTAATCTACTATGCCATAAATTAGAAGACTCAAGCAAGTAGACAGAAGTAGTAGTATTATTAATAATATTGGAGTTGTTTACAGTCATCACATTCAGTTTGAAAAGGCCCCCACTAAGGTAGCCCTTTCCTACATACACATCATTCTTAGTAAGTACAAACTTATCAGAAACAAATACAAGTTTAAAGCCATTCTTGCTTAACAGAGATCCAGAGACTAAGTTCTTGCGAATATCAGGCACATGGAGCACATCATTCAGTGTCACTATCTTGCCAGATGTCATTTTCAAAGCCACTTTGCCTGCTCCTTCAACTTTTGAAGTAGATGAATTACCCATATAAAGTTTCTCATCATTATCAGTAGGAGTATAGGAGGAGAACATCCCCTTGTTTGAACAGACATGTCTGGTGGCACCAGTGTCCACCCACCACTCGTTGGAGTCTCCCATCAGATTGCACTCCATCACCACTGCTGCCAGATTCAGTTCTTCAACCTGATCAGCAATATCAACCATATTGGCTTGAGTGCTCTTCTTCTTCTTATTGAACTTTTGTGGCTTCCTCTGATCTTTCCTTTATTCCTTCTTACAATCCTTTGCACGGTGGCCAGAATTCCCACAATTGAAACAGTTGCCATTGAACTTTTTGCCCTTTCCTTGCTTAGCATTTCCATCTTCAGAATATTTCCTCTTCTTTGACTTTGATCCCTCTTCAACTACATTAGCTTTGGAGATCATAGGATTGTTGCCATTCCTCTTGTCAGACATCTTATTGTCTTCTTCTATTCTCAATCTGGTAACCAGATCTTCAAGTGTCAATTCCTTGCGCTTATGCTTCAGATAATTCTTGAAGTCTCTCCAAGAGTTTGGTAATTTCTCTATGAAAGCAGCAACTTGAAAAGACTCACTAAGAGACATTCCTTCTGCATGAGTTTCATGCACAATCACTTGAAGTTCCTCAACTTGACTCACAACAGATTTGGAGTCTACCATCTTGAAGTCCAAAAATCTGCCAACTATGAATTTTTTCAAGGCAGCATCCTCAGTTTTATACTTCTTGTCCAGACTTTCCCAAAGTTCCTTACTAGTCTTCAGGGTACAGTACACATTATACAGTGAGTTGTCTAGAGCATTGAGAATATAGTTCCTGCAAAGGAAGTCAGAATGCTTAAAAGCATCAATGGCAGCAACCTTTTCCTTGTCAGACTCTTCTCCCTCATTCAATTTAGGAGAATCTTCCTTGAGGAAACGGTCCAGACTCAGAGTTGTCAAATAGAACAACATCTTCTGTTGCCAGCGTTTGAAATTTGTTCCATTCAGTTTTTCAGGCTTGTCAGCATGCATTGGAACAAAGGCAGTAACATTGGCATTGCTTGTACTTACATTAGCCATTTCTGTTACACAAACAGAATCCGAAATTAATCACACAGATTAATTTATCACACAGATTAATAACCCTGATTAATCAAACAGTAAATAAAACAGAAACATTATATATAACGAAAAAATAAATACTGATCACAGGTTCAAAAACACCAAAATTGTCTTAAGATTGTTATTGAAAGACAGTGGGTGATATTATATCACTAATAGATTTGAACCCATGTATAAAGCAGAGGAGGTAGATGATCAGAATTATCACTGTGTAATTAAGAATATTAAAAACAGACTTACTTGTCAGTGGCAGAGTGATGAAACAGACAGAATGAAAGGATGAATATATGCAGTATCAGAGGAATTAAATCCGAGTCCACAGAACGTGTCTCCTTAAGACAATTTGCCCCCTCACTGATGCCTAAGGTTGATGGACACTTGTCTCCCAGGATAGAACGAATTTCGTCTGAAGAATGGTGGCACTACCAATCAACAGCCCAAACGAACACAACAATATGCCAGAGGAAGTCACACCAGAGGATGAACAACAGTATGCAAAACCGGAAGAAGAAAAAATTCCGGCAGAGTTTAAGTGCAGAAAAAACTGGATAGATTTCTGAAGGTGTCAGTGTCTATTTATAGACACTGACCGATCACGATGAACAGTCGCCGGCGGCGAACCGCCGTGTCTGATGGCGGCGAACGGGTGCGACCGGTGACTGTTCCGACGAACAGATACGACCGGTGACCGGTTCAGCGAGCAGACACAACCGGTGACTGGTTCACGAAGGGAAAGAACCGGTTCGGTTCAATACTGCTCAAAAATCCGGCGGGTAGAAACGTTTTGGTTGGAGGGAAGCAACGGTAAATTTTCGGACAAAATATTAAAAAATTATTTAATAAAAAATTATTTTTTATTACACACTATGAACCGAATCGAACCGAGCCGAGCCGAGCCGAGCCGGCCGGACGGACGGCGGCGGCGCGCGCGTGTGTGTGGTGAACCAATGCTCACCTAGCTCTTCCCCCTACATAAAACATGTAGTGACCCAAGGGTCAATCTAAGAGAGGGAAGTGGGAGCTTATATACTCTCCTATTTCCTACTAATTGTCCAATGTGGGACTTGTTGAAAACCCACACACCTCTTCATCTTCCCTTTTTTCTCTTTTCTTTATTAACCTACTTCTTATTCATAACTAATGGATCATTGTACATTAATTAATTCATTAATTCCAACATGAAGTGGGTGTTCAAAACAAATTTGAAATAAAATGGTGAAATTTACAAGCACACAGCACACTTCGTTGTCAAAGGGTACAAACAACAATATGAGATTGATTACACAAGAGCTTTTTCTCTTGTTGCGAGACATGACACAATTAGGTTGGTGGTTGCATTGACAGCACAAAATTCTTGGCCTATTTACCAGTTAGATGTCAAATTGGCATTCTTGCATACCACACGTAGGAACAAGTATTTATCGAGAACCCCATTGGTGCTGTGAAGGTTGGAAATGAGCATAAAATTCACAGATTGTGAAAGTATCTTTATGGACTGAAACAAGTCCCCGAGTTTGGTATAGTCGTATTGCATTGAGTCTTATTTTCTTAAAGTTGGTTTTACAAAGTGTCCCTATGAGCATACACTTTTTGTTAAGATTGGAGATAAAGGAAAAATGCTCATTATTTGCTTAAATGTAGATGATCTCATATTCACTAGAAATTGTGATGTTATATTTGAAGAACTTATAAAGTCTATGATGACTGAGTTTGAAATGTTTTTTTTTTTTGGAAACTGATCCTAATTACCTCTTTGAGACGAATCAGAACCTCCCGGTATTTCCACGGGTTCGACTCTTTGAGCCGCCTATGGGACTAATTCAGAGTTCGGGTGTGAGTTCCAGTACTTATGCCCCTCCCCAGATGGTGTTGGTGGGATTCGAACCGAGGTCCTCTCCCAACACTCAGTCCCCATGCTACCAACTGAGCCACCACACTTGTTTGAAATGTTTGATCTTGGTATGATGCACTACTTTTTTGACATAAGAGTAGTACAATCAAGTGATGGAATTTTTATTTCTCAAAAGAAATATGTGGAAGATATTCTCGATTGGTTTCAGCTGAAGGGTTGTAATCCTGTGAACACTCCAGTTGAATGTGGCTTGAAGCTACACAAAGATCATGTAGGAAAGAAGGTTGATAACACCCTCTACAAACAAATTGTGGGAAGTTTGATGTATCTCAATGCAACAAGGCTAGATATAATATATTCTGTGAGTTTAATTAGCAGGCATATGGAAAATCCTATAGAATTGCATTTGTTAGTTGCTAAGAGAATCATTTACTACTTGCAAGGAACAAGAGACTTCAGAATATTTTACAAGAAGGGTGTAAAATCTAATTTATTGGATTTACTAACAGTGGTTCTGTAGGAGATCAAGATGACAGGAAAAATACTTCAGGTTATAATTTTATGTTGGGTACTGATGATGTTTCATGGGCGTCAAAGAAGCATTCAACGGTCACTTTGTCAAGCTCATAAGTTGAATTTGTTGATGCTATAACTTGTGTGTGTCAAGCTATTTGGCTAAGGAGAATTATTGAGGATCTTCAATTCAAGCAATTAGGAGGTACTAAAATTATGTGCTACAATAATACAACAATTAGACTATCCAAAAATTATGTGATACATGAAAGAATCAAGCATATTGATGTGAAGTTTTATTTTTTAAGAGTTTTTTGTAATGATGAAGCAATTGATCTTATCTATTGCAGAAGTGAAGATCAAATAGCTAATATATTCACTAAAGCTCTCAAGATGGAGTCGTTCACGAAGATGAGAAGATTATTAGGTGTTTGCACGCTTTAAACTGAATGTTAGCAAACATCCGTTTAAGGGTAAGAATGTTAAAATGTCTCTTTTTTTTTCTTATGTCGGTTAGAATGTTGAAAAGTTAGTTGTATCTTAATTTTTTTGTGTTGGTATAAACAATTGTGATGTTTATTAGGAATAGGAATATAATAGTGTGGTGTTATGAGTAATTAATGAAAGTTTATGGATATTTATGCGTTTTTATTGGTGACTTAACGTGGCTATTATTAGTGGTATAATGAGGCTCTTTATTAGAAGTGTAATAAACCTTTTCATCACTATATTTCAGTTTTCTTTGTATTGCTTATAAAGGCATGATGTATTGGAGGAATAATAAGATGAATCATTCCCTTTTCTAATATCTTGTAACAATGCTTCGGTTTCAAGTGATGAGCAGCAAACTACAGTAGCATTACAACCTTTTTACTTCATGTTGTTAATTCTTGTTCGCTTTTTGAGCGCGTGGATTTATCTTTATGTGTTGAAGCAACATCTTCAATTTCATGATAATATTATAATAGCATTTCCTTTTTCAAATGCTCATCAGAATGTTTTTCACATGCTCCCGGTATCTAACTCCATACATGCTCTCTGCCATCGTTAGCTTTCATTAAATCCTTGACGCTATGTGCTCTAATGAATTTAAGGATGTGTCGCATTATTATGACCAGAGATCGATAGAAGTTATCTTGTTACATTCGCTTTTGATTTGTCCAAACTACATTTTCAAACTTAATGATTCACTAGGAAATGGATCATCTCATGTGAAAAAAACATAATCATGTCATGTGAGAAGATCACAACCATACAAAGGTAAATCAACGGTTATGATTTCGTAACTATCTATTTTAACATTTTTTCTCTCACCTCTTTTATTATCATTGATCCACCTTTGTATAGTTATAATTCCCCACATAACATAATTATGTGAATTTTCACATAAGAGGATCTAGATCTGATTCACTATGACCTTTCTCAGTTAAATTTCTTTCCCCCCATAAGTTATTTGGTAAACCAATAGATTTTTAGCATTGACAAATTACTTGAACTTTTGGAGAACAAAGGGTTGTGATCATTACAGAATAAATGCAGGAATGTAATCTTGGAATTTTTTTAACACACCTACCACTTTTAGGACAAATTGGGTATGTTCAATTATGTTTAATTATATAAAAGGCCAAACTTGGTGCATAAGAGTCCTTAACTTGCAAAGATAAGGGTAATGGTCGATTGTAGGTAGCTTTTTTTTTGTATTTTTGCAAAGAGGTTATTTTTTAAAATGGAATCTGCAACCTTCCAATAACAAAAAATACCCTTATCACTACTCGAAGGCTCGCCTTCAATTATACTGAATTATATACCATGAAAGAAAAGAATAAAAAAAAAAATGGTTGGTACCCAATAAACTGCTTTTTCCCCCCCTTATCCTTAGAGCTCTCAGTCCCATGCTTTTAAATCCAAACATATGAAAGAGTTGCAGGACAAGGAGGATTATATATCCATGTATTAGGCAGCTATAGCCGGATACAATTCAACCCACTTGCAAGGAAGTGCCTCAATGTTAAGAGTTAAAAAGTCATGTGCATTGGATACCCCAATGAAACTAATGGGATAAGAGAATCTTGCAAGGTTTTTTCTACAAGGGAATAGTTTGTTTCACTTGAAATATGAACAGCATTGTGAACCAGAAAAATGAAATCAAATCCCATTTTGAATATCTTCTAAGATTCCGGGTCACTGTCAGACATATACATGATGTATCAACTCACAGAGCGCTTTATTCCAATATGGAGATTTTCAGTATAAAAACGAATTGGCAAAAAGATGTGCTTAATGTAAATTATCATCTTTAAAGATGAAGCATATACAAAGCAAAGAGGAAATTAGAAAGCTTTAGTTTTTTTTTTTTTTTTTTTTTTGGTAACTGCTTAGAAAGCTATAGTTAATTCTGGTCATTGCGGGTATAAAATCATTACTAGGGCGGCACATTTGATTGCTAGACAAATCAATTTAAAACGATGGCACGCTCAAATAAAGAAACACTATCAAAGCTTAAACATCAAGTTCAGTATACACTTTCTACGCTGGCATGCAATGATCTTGTCTGATTTTTTTTTTCCACCCCACCTTTTCCTATAGTGAATCTTCTTCATTAAGGTTGAGCTTGTGCATCCTTAAAAATGAAGGTAAAATAATTTGTGGGTAAATTTTATATGAAAATCTCATTTTAATTTTTTTCTTTCCCAATGTTATGTGATACCTAACTGATTTAAGATATCACATACCATTTTGAAAATGTAACTCAAAGAGCATTATTCCTAGGGGTGACAATATGGGTTGAACCCGACGGGTTAACTCGCCAACCCGTCAAAACAGGACAGGTTGAGTTACATATTTTAACCCACCAACCCGACTTAACCCGCCCCGTTGGGTTGTGGGTCAAAACGGGTTGGCGGCGGATCAGGATGGGTTGGCCTGTCGGGTCAATTTTTTATTTTTTTTACTATTAGGTAGTGTTTTATTTGTTTTTAAGTTTTTGTGATATCCAATTTTTTGTTATCTTAGTACTCTCTAAAAAAAAATATAGAAGAAAAACTTTATTTATGACAAAGGTAATTGATGTATGGAGATAAAAACAAGTTTGTAAATAATATTTGACTAAATATTAGCCAACATTTAAACTTAAGATTGAAAAAAAACTAAGGAGAATATGATATGAAAATAAGTAATATTATAATATTAATAAAATATAATTTATTTTTTATTTTTAATTATTTTTTATTTTTTAAACGGGTTGACCCGCCAACTCGCTATAAAATGGGGCAGGTTGAGATTTTCAACTCAAATTCAAAAGGCGGGACAGGACAGACCAATCCACTTTTGACGAGTTGACGTCGGGTCGCGGCGGACTGACCCATTTTGACACCCCTTTATCCCATTGTAGGATAAAAGCCAAGTAGCCTTAGCGGTCATTGAGTGTAAAGTTGGTAGCACCATTTTAGTTGTAGTAGTAGTTTAGAAGGACTCAAATTTGAGCTTGTAAGTGAAATTCCAGTACAAAAGTCAGTGGCTTCTAGCTGGCTCTGGAATACCATTTGTATTTTTTTTGTCAATTAGCTACTCTTGAATTGGGTCAATCCAGCATTAAGGCACTGTAGTGAGAAATCTTGGGAGGCTAAAATTGAATTGATTGATTGATTGGCATTCATACTTTTTTTTCTTCTTCTTGTTTTCAAAAAGAACATGTGCATGATATGCCATTATTCAACAAAAAGAGGCTGTCGATAGATAAATAATGATAAGAGTAGGTGGATGCATAATTGAAATGTAAAATAGAAGCACAAAGAGATTGGAAAAAGAAGGCAAAGTCATGGCAGCGACTCATGGCCATGTTCATGTTGACAAAATCAACGACCAAAACGCCATGCCCTTCATGCCACTTTTAAATCTCAACAAACAAATGATGGTGTTTGTTGAATAAATAATATCTTATTACCCCACACTTGGAGAATAACTTGGAAATTTATAGATTGCACCCAAGAAGTGTCCACTGTTTACCACTCAAAAACTAGAAGTGATAAGTCATAATTGGATACCTCACTAACTGTTCTACAAGAGTTCATGATATGAATTGTAACAAAGAGACGCCAAATTACATATTACTAGGAATAATCATGAATTAGAAGGAAGATAAACATTGCATCCCTGCCAGGTTTATGAGACTGCAAAAATTGGATCCTTTATGAAAATTGACAAAGAAGCTAAGATATAGATTCTTTAATACCATATAATTTATATTGACAAAGAAGCTTAGGTGTTATCCAAAATACAAATATTATCGCCTCTCTTTTACATTTTCAGGTTCTGTCACCAATTTATATATTGCTAAAGATGGGCCTAATCATCACAGCATGCAGAAAAAGAGATAAAGAAGACCCTTTTGGGGTGTTTGGTTCAAGTTTTTGGAGAGGATTACCGGTAATCCTTCTTTGGTAAATGTAATTACCACGTTTGGTAGAAGGAATAAATTACGATTCCCGGATATCCAAGGATTACCGGTAATTTGATTTATAAAGAAAAGTCACTATTCAGATTACCAAAAATAATATGGTAATTCGGAATACCAATCAGAATACCAAGTAAAGGGAAAACACAACAATAAATTTTGAGACAAAAATACCCCAATACACATAAAAATCTAGACCCAATCTATCAATTACAAAAGTAAAAATAGTTTGGGGTTATTTTTGTAAAATAACCTCATATTCCAAGTCATATTTCGTTCTAAACCAAATATGGAATCAATAATTTTTACCCAATATTCCCGGTAATATTTTGGCGAACCAAACACATCTTTCGTAAGATTCCAAGTAAACTCAATTTCTACTGAATTCCCATTAATCATGATTCCCGGTCACCAAAAAATTTCTCTTGTACCAAACACACCCTTTAAGTACAAATTCTCCATTTCTATCTTGTATGAGATGTGCATCTGTCCAAACTGAATTGTTTATTCAACTAAATGAAGATCTATTTGCACCAGGCGAAAACTGGTGTCATTTACAAGCAACACCGCTTGAAAATTTAAAACACAAAAATCCACTTGCATTCAGCAAGATGAGCTCACAGAAGCTTATATATATGGTGAGGTCATAGAAGCACTAGTGTTTAGAACTAGAGCACCATCTGGTGTCATTTACTGGTTTGAATATTGGGAGCTAATATCCACTTGCATGCAAAGCCAAAAAGATGAGCTCACAGGAACTACCATGCTGTGGTCATAAAAGCTATATATATATATTTTGGCAGATTGCCAGTAGTTTCTGGAGCCACAATATTCTTAAACAAACTCCTCAGCTTTCAAAATTTCACCTTCCCCAAGATAATCCATTATATATCCAATCAGATCAACAACAACATCATATTATATATAATATATTAAGGTAGCCATGGTTTCAACTTCAACAGGCTGAACACAAGACAGATCAATCTAACTTCTTGTTATAATTTTAGCTTCAGAAACATCAGTATTTTTGGGTTTCAATCAGTTAGTAGAGTGGTTAAGTTAAAAAAATACACTGATGGTCAAAAGCTCATGGAAGTCAAAAGTGCAGAAGAAGAAAATCACAACCAGTTTGCCTTACATAGGGTCTTTCTCCATGCTTTAGAACAAGAAAGAACAAAAGACGGTATTATATCATCATGTTTCTTACCCTTAGCCGTAAACTAGCGTATAGCATAATTGATGTTGTTGTTACATATTCTATCCCCTACTAAGTCACTTTTACCCAATTTGCTTGCACCTCCTATTAAAAAAAAAAAAAAAACTCAACATTAAACTCCAACTAGCGACGGTAGGGATGAGGGCAATTCTTGTACGCAACCTTACTTTACATATTCGTAAAGAGACTGTTTCCCATATTTGAACCCGTGATCTTTCACAAAAGAGAAGCTTTACCACTGCTCTAGGCTCACTCTTAATCTCTACTCAAAGACACTGACATAAGGAATCAAATGATGGTGAAAGGTGGGCTTAAAAGTTACAGTATTTGGTTATACTGAAAACAATTCATGTGACCTCTCCAGCTAAGTTATCTCAAGCAAAGTTCAGATGCAAAACTTTTAGTTTGTAAATACGGCTAAATAAAGGAAAGTTCAGCGCCCTTTATAATGAAGCAGAGTCGTAGATACTGATACTGATAGTGAACTACTTTAGTTTCTTTAGAAGTATGTTCCATTGGTGGAAAACAATTTATTTCAAAAAAAAAAAGAAAAAGGAAAGATCCTCCCAAGTGATGAATTTTGAAGGAAAGCTGTCAAGTTGTATGTTAAGGGATGGTAAATCACCCCAATGATAACAAGAAAGCAGCTTAAGTGCAGAAAGGGTGTGGAAGATAGCCACAGTTCACACATGTAATTTGCAAGAGCAATTCCACACAGATTAAAATCTCTCAGATGATAAAAGTACTACTACCAAATCCAATAAGAAATTTGACAAATATGATTATGAAAGTTGAAACTATATCATCAATTTCACAAACAAACTGATCAGCACTCCATCCTGACCTAGAGAAGAACAAAATAATCAACACACCTCTGAATTAAACAATAGTTTAAGGCCAGACCCAATCAGCCAAGCTATCTGGCCATCCAATTCCACCTGCAAGCTAACATCATAAACAACATAATAATTACAACCCATGAAAGATTGTAAAATAGATCAAAAGAAACAAAAAACAATACAAAACTTGTTGAAGCACCTGTATCTGGAGACTTAAGTACTGTGGAGAAGGAACAATAAGAGGGGGAAAGGTAAACCAAATCCAGTTTCTATTGAATTCTCTTGAGACATCTATTTCCTCACAGTCTCCCCAACTATACAATACAAAAGCCACTGTAGAAAACCTCAGCCTCTGGACAATGCTACATCTTTCATCCAAATCCATAAAAACCTTACTGTCCTGAACCTTGGGAATCATCCTTAGTAGGAGGCTGCTGCTGATGCTGATGCTGGTGGTGGTGGTGGTGCTGCTGTTGCTGTTGTTGTTGGTGTACTCTAGCTTGACCCATCTGCTGATAAATCTGGCTCAAAGCTTGTGGATTCAAAACCCCAATATGGCCATCTTGAGACAAACCAAGCTCCAAACCAGGCATCTGCTGGTTACCTCCACCCAAAATTGAGGTAAAACTCATATGCCCCATGTTGGTAGCAGGCAAGTCAAACCCTGGAAATGCAACCTTTTGCAGATAATTTGAACTCTCAGTGCCTAAAGTTGGTGTAGATGGACCAGATGATGACTGAAATCCAAATCCACTGATAGGGGGCCATAGACCTGTGGTGGCCACATGGGGTCTCCCCAAATTTCCTCCAACCATAGTCCAGCTGGTCCTACTTCCTGACCCAATATTGGACCCTCCCAATTCATCAATCTTTTGGTGTAACCCAGCAGATAAAGAGGTCCCTTGTTGTGAAACAGAGTTACCAGCAGCAGCCAAAGCAGATGCTGGTATTGTCCCAGTTCCTGTGGCTGCTATAATAGATGGTTCAGCTTGCTGCAGAAGCCACTGGATTGTTTCTCCATCGGATTTGTGACCCAATTCTCTGGTCAACTGAAAGATTCTAGCTGCACAAAGAGCAGGCATCCTTATCCTCCTTCCTCTCCCTTCAACCTTGGTGTGTCTATCCTTGTTGGAACTCCTCTTTGGTGCTAACTGCAGCTTCTTGTTCTCTTCTTTCTCAGCAATCACAATCTGCAAATCCTTCACCTCTGATGGCTTGTTCTCTCCCATGTTCCCTTGTTGTTGTTGGTGTGGCTGTGGGAGGCTCAGGAAATTGTTGGGTAACTCCTGTGCCTGTGCTTGTGGCTGCTTTGAGCCCTTGGGATCCATGAACAGGTCACAAAAGATTAAAAGAAAAAAATAATAATTAAAAAGAAAAAGAAAAAAGAAAAGAAATGATGGGTCCTCTTTGATTGAAGAAGGTGGCCTGAAAAGTCCTAAACTTTCATGAGTTTTCACTGTTTCTGGCAAGGATTGAGGGACAAAACATTAAATATTAAAATCCCAATGTGCCCATGTCCAAATTTTCACTTCATGGTTTCTCTCTCTCTCTCTCTTGTCCTTTCTTACCTCTTTCTCAGGGTAGTGGGTTTTGACCAGCCAGATATGAGTTTTGAAAGCAACTTTAACTGCCAGTTTCACCCTCTTGTGGACTATAACCCTGTGTCTTTATACAGACATGAAACAAATATCCATTCTACATTCCATGCATCTGCTTCATTATCTCCCTTTTTTTTTTTTTTTTTTTTATTTTCTCTTCTCTCTTCTCTCTTGCATCCCATAATTGCAACATTGTAATATAGCTCTTCAAAATTAAAAAAAAAAAAGTTACAATTTTCAATTTGCCACGTGTCAGCCACTGTAGTTCTCTAGGCCCCACTTCTTCAAAGATGTGTTATAAACAGAATCAAAGAACAAAATTTAATAATGGGATCAGCAACCATAAGTAATGTTACACATTAAAGAGAGGTATGTATGCTGCAGTTTAGGCACAATTTTTCTGTTCTGTGACAAAATATCCAATGGTGGGTCCTTGCTTCTTTAAATACTATAGTTGCTGGCAGTTCTGCTTCCATGTACAAGATATCACTTCCCCTACACTTTCGGTATGTTATGTGTATTTTGTGTTGGACTTAACAGTTAGATTTGTGTTTTGGTGAGCTCAGTTTCACACCAACACAACATGGAAATAAAACAGTGGTATGAATGTTATGTTAATATAAAATTAGCGATTAACAGGATATAAAATTCATGATATAAGAATAAAGTAAAATTTTTAAAATATCATTTATTTTTTTTCCTAAACCCTAAAACAATGTTGTTTTCGAGTTGCTATTCTGTTGTTGCAGGAGAAATATTTTTTTCCATAAAAATATTAAAAAATAATTATATCATGTTATGTAATAGAGACAAAGTAGTGGAGTCCATTATTTTTTTCTCTTTTTTTAAAAATGGTGGACTCCATTATTTTGTCTCTATTCCATGAGATAATTATCTTGTGTAATATGAGATAAATAAATCCCAAAAATATTATTGTGATCATTCTTTACCAGCTTAAATATTTTTGGCCGAAATGAATCTTATGGTATTAAAATCTTTTTGACTAATTAATAAATATTAAATATTATTGACTTTTTTTAACATATTTAGGTAGATGTATATATTTTTCATCTGTAAAGTTCAATAAATTTTTATGCGAGGTAACGTGACAAAAATATTAATATAAGATTATTAATATATTCATTACTTACCAAAATGTCATTTATACTGAATTTCCTTTTGGAAAGTAACGACAACAAACTTTTAGATTCAATCGGAACATGTTTGCTACAAGAGAAATTTTTTGGTGACCGAGAATCATGATTAATGAAAATACAGTAGAAATTGAGTTTACTTGGAATCTTACGAAAGAAGTGTTTGGTTCGCCAAAATATTACCGGAAATATTGGGTAAAAATTACTGATTCCATATTTGGTTTAGAACGAAATATGACTTGGAATATGAGGTTATTTTACAAAAATAACCCCAAACTATTTTTACTTTTGTAATTGATAGATTGGGTCTAGATTTTTATGTGTATTGAGGTATTTTTGTTTCAAAATTTATTGTTGTGTTTTTCCTTTACTTGGTATTCTGATTAGTATTCCGAATTACCATATTATTTTTGGTAATCTGAATAGTGACTTTTCTTTATAAATCAAATTACCGGTAATCCTTGGATATCCGAAAATCGTAATTTATTTCTTCTACCAAATGTGGTAATTACATTTACCAAAGAAGAATTACCGGTAATCCTCCTCAAAAACTTGAAACAAACACCCCCTCGCATTGTACAAGTATCTTGACTACCAAGGAAGCCAGTTATATTTGTTTTGTTGCGAACTACTTTATAAAAAGCTTAAATTTGAAATTAATTTTGAAATATCAAATTAACCTCTACTTAAACTTTAGTTCATTAACATATACACACAGTACAATACTTATTTTATTTTATTTTGTAGAAAAAAATTCTTATATAAAGTTCTTTAATTATGAAAATAAAGAGGACATAAGAGGAAAATATGATATAAAATATTAGTGAGATGATGGATAAAGAAAGAGAGAAGGTCATGCAAGGAAGCTACGAAGGGTGCACATTTGTCAAATGTCATAGGAAATTACAAGTTTGAGTGGAAGGCATGCAAAAAACAGCTTGAAATACTGACTGGAAATGCCTCAAATTTCTCCCATGAAAAAAGTTGCACTATTTTTAATTGAGCCTCGAAAGCGATATTCCAGGTCTTTATTCCTACAATATAAAAGTCTTGTAAAGTGATATAATTGATTAAAGATGGTAGATGAATCGTAAGAAACCTAACAAGGCCACAGTGGAAGGTTCGTGCAGGTGCATGATTTGTAAGATATTTTGTAATAATTGATTCATTTATATATATTTGTCGTAACGGGCAAAACGCTAACGAGTTAATGGTCTAATATTTATATTTGTCATATAAGTCTTTTTAACAAATAAAATCCCAAAACTACATCATAGCTTAACCAGTTATAAAATTGGAGGTTCAAAGTTCAAACCATCATTGCAAGCAAAAATATAATTATATTATATTCTCTAGGAAAAAAAAGTATATTCCCTCTAATTCCAAGGTTCAAGCAACGAGGACAATCTAAAATCTTCTAATAAGATAATATTTTTATATTTTTTTATGATTATTTATTTTATTTGCAAAAGGGTAGCTCATCTCATGCAGTTTACTTCATGAATACTAAAAAGGGAAAGAAAACTCAGTAATTTTTTTTTTATAAATTACAAATATCCACATGATCACTTAAAGATAACATGACTTCAAAATTTTTGGTGTCATTTATGATTTATCTCATTAAAACTTTTAAAAATTATTATTCATCTAATTGGATTAATCGAATAATTGATAAATAATATAAAAAAATAAAACTAACGAAAATGGTAAAGTGAGTATAACATGGTGAATAATGAATAGATTTCTAATAGATTAGTTTGATTTTGGCCAAAAAAAGTTTACGAATAAAAAAAAAACCGAAAATTGATTTTAGAGACAAGATGTTTTTTTGGTAAGTGCTAACTATAAAAAAATTGATAGAATTTTTCCTTTTGACAAATTTTCCTAGATTGATGATGAAAATGAGGCATTTTATCATGGTGTTAATTTTATGTCAACATATGATAATCATAGACGATTTTCGTTAAAAAAGTGATTGTTGATTGGGCAAAACATCTTTTGTTGCATGTTCAATAAGGAAGGAATTGGTATTTTTATTCTTTTTAAGCATTAGAAGAAAAAAAAATGCCTATAATTAAAAGTTTGACGAGTTGGACAGACTACCCAGTCGACCATTATGGATTATCCATATGATTTATTCATAGTTTAACGGTGTCATGATTTTTCCTAGTGTGTAATTTTATTTCCAAATACCTAATCAACCACTTTGGAATACACAAACGACCTCCTAGCTTTTCAATGAGGAACCTAATATGAATATCAGAATTATAGGAGATGGAGATCCACCCTTCTCGAGCCAAGACAGATGAATCGGACACGGTTGATATCACTTCGAAGAACGAGTGAAACCAGGACGACCGAGTGGCTTTGGCAGTGATCCAGAAATTTTTATGACAAAGAGTGAAAATAAAAAATTATAATTGAATCCATGCTCTAAAATTCAAAACAATTTCTTTTTCAATACATATAATCAAAGAGTCATTAAGAAATTAGTCTTCTATTCTATTTTGAAGCTTATTCTTAATTATCTTCATAGCTGAGAGAGCTCTTTCAATAATTGCTATAGAAACTGAAAAAAATGAATACAAGTCTAATCACTATATCAATGAGAGGGTAAATGATGGACTTTCTAGTTCTTGCTAGTCATAGACATAATTCAGATGTAGTTCATAAATTAATCAAATCCGGATGTTTAGGAAAGTCAAGTTAAAAAAAATAGAAATTAAAAAAAAGGAAAAAGAACAAAAAACATTAAGAATGAAGGTGCATCTGCAATAATAAAATATTAATGTTATTTTTATTTATTGTTATCAATCCAGCAACAACGTGGCCTTTCCTTCCGAGCAAAAAATAATTAAATAAATAAAGAGAAACAAATAAAAAAATTAGTCACACACGTAAACACATGTCCAACAATCAAAAACAAGATATGTAGATGCATATAACACGCGTAAGTCAAATAATTATTTTTTTAATGAAAATTTTGGAAATAGACAATTTTGTCAATGAGACAAAAAAAGAGCAAAAAATAAAAAGAATAAAGACTTACTCTCAGCTAGGGGTGAAAGTGGGCTGAGTTGGGCCAAACTTTGTCCCTAAAAGTCCAAGCCTATGCCAAAAAACTTCAATTTGGCCTGGCCCAAGCCTAGTACGAGTCTAACTGTTAGCCTGGTTTGGCCCGTTTATAAAAAAACAAATAGCCTAGCCTAGCCCATTAGTCTGTTAATTTTTAAATTTCAAGCAGAATCATGAAGCAACTTTACAAAACACTCAAATTCTATTGCTAAACCAAAAATCATAATTTGAACGTCCAAACAGAATCATGAATCACAAAAAAACTCATACAGTCTGTATTTAAGTCACTTTCAAAAGCAAAATACTCAAACTACGTATTTTTGAGTATGTAAATTAAAATAACTACATGAATCCACCAATCACATCATGATGCTTGTAGTAAGTATAATCTCTCCCAAAAATCTTTTAATATATTCATATATACAATCTAACATTCCGAGATGTTAGTTCCTCCTACATAAGAAATAAAGTCAGATTTCTATTAAAATATAATCAAATATAATTAAGTTATAAATAATTGCAATTGATTAAATTTATATCTTTTGTTTTTTCTTCAAGGCATACTTATTATATTTTATTTAATTTTAAATAAATAGTACAATATAGGCTGGCCTGTAGGGTTATAGGCCAGACTTTGTGAAAGTGAGCCTACGACCTTTTTATTAAACAAGCTTTTTCAAGGGCCAATTCTAACCTATTTTACGAAATATACTAGGTCAGATCTGGCCTGACGTAACCCGAGCCGTAGGCCCCTGTAGGCCGGCCTGGCCCAGTTTCAC